TAAATGGAAAATTATTTCATGATGAAGGTTTTTGGCCATAGGGTTGTTGATGGGTGGATATTTTTTTTTGCATACTTGTCAAACAAAGTCATAATCCTTAGTTTAGTGGGTGGATTACTCATAGACAGTCTTTCTGTGCTAGCTCTCCCACTACTCTTTCATCTTTGTTTATTAATTTCTCATGTTGTTACATTTATATCCTGGGTTTTTCTCCAGCATGGATCTCAAAGCAATTGCATGTCCATATATTGACCAAGCTGGGAATTTCATAGTGTGTTGATTCTAGAGTGTGGGTGCAAATTCGGGATATACACATGTGTAAGTTTCATTCACATGTATGACCATCCTGTTCGAAGTGCTATGGGGGCTGACATTCCTCCCTCCACAGCACCGAATGCCTCTTCCTACTGAAAATCCTTTGCAGCCACCCTGCATGGCCATTCCATGTTTTTTGGCAAGCAATCAGGGTTGGAAAAGTATCTGACTACATCCCCATAGCCAGATGCGAAAGGATTACCGCAGCAATCTGACCCATGTAGAACACCAGCAGATCTCAATGCTGATATCTTTATCAGTGGGGTATATGAGTCAGTGTAGCCTAGGTCCACATGTCGATGTTTCAGACTATAGTCTTGCTACTGGTCTGTAGAGAAGAATGGTATTGAGGATGATGATGGTGATGGTGATGATAATTTGTGATGATGATGATGGTGTTGTATTTGTTTACCACATCTCCTCTTAGCTCAAGGTGGGGTATAACATGATTACAACACCCATATAAAACACAATACCATAAATACATATATTAAAATACATAGTACCAAGATTAAATATAATATTAAATTTAAAATTCATAACTTAACATGCTGGTTAGATCTTGCTACAAAATGGTTCAGTGGTGTTTGTCTGCTACCTTAGCCGATGAAGGACAGAGAAACAAACAATAAGCAAAATCCAAGTCCTTGCTGTAATGTTGTTCTTATTTTATTCATAAATGTTAAATATTCAGTGCAAACAGGAGAAAGAAAAAATGGACCACCTTTGTCTGGTCCAATATAATGGGGAGCCATTAAATGAATACATTGCACATGATATTTTTCAGTTTTTCTAATTATCCCTTTCTAAACAATCATATTGCTATCTTGGCAGCTACCACCGATCGAAAGCACGAAATTAGAAAGGTACCTCCTGAGAGACCAGAATGTCTTCCTCATCGAACAGAAGAGAAAGGTAAGAAATGTACTTCCAAATGAAAAAGTGTACTTGGATCTATATTACCATTTTTTAGAAAGAGATCAAATACAGTTCATTTCTATACTTTACTATACATACCTTGTTATTTATGTTTGAGAGAACCAGAACAAAAAAAAGTTAATAGAAAGATGCGGCTATAGCTATTTTGTGACATGAGATGTTTTTACTGCTGAGAGGTGACAGTGAAGTGGAAGAAAAGTCTGGAGAAGGACAGCACTCCTCTCTCTGAAGCGGGAATTACTTTGCCATTCTTTCTTTGTAAGAAGTACAGAAATGTTAAGGGAAGCTCAGTCGTGACCCTTCTCTGATGAATGTCATGGGTGTGCTAAAATGATGCGTTATAAACACAAAGTATTTCAAATAATAACAAGAGCAGTCTTGACCTTTATAAAGTTTTCCTAACATTTCTGAAGGCAAGATATTGAATGATTTTTAAATCCCATTGTTCCACACAGTCAGCTCTAGAATCATTAATTTAAGAGTGCAGGTCAGGCTGCCTTTTAGGTTTGCCACAAGAAGAGAATAAATATTATGAAAGAGTAATTGTACTCTGGACCTAAGCTGTGGTGCAAGATTGACCTTCTACTAGGTTTTGACACTAGTGGCAGCTATTACATTTCAGATTATTATACTTAAAAATATATTTATTCTTTTGGGTGGAAATTGATTTGAAGAAAGACCAGACAGAGAGCAAAAACTGTTAGATTTACAGAAGCCTTCTGTTCCTGCTATACCACCGAAGAAACCTCGACCACCAAAAACAAATTCTTTGAACAGACCTGGTACGTTACCTCCAAGAAGACCAGAAAGACCAATTGTGCCTATGACCCATACAAGGTATTTGATCCATCTATTCTTTAAAATGAAATTGGTTGTATAGTGAACATTTAAATTGTACCTATGCTGTAATTTTGTCCATGTCTACATATTAGTCTACTTATTAGTGCAATCCTAGACAAATGCCTATGGGTAAATTTCATTGTTTTCAATGGGCTTCTCAGTAAATATGTGTTAGATTGCATCTTTTTTCTTTTTAGAAGTCTATCCGTATGCAAAGGTTTAATGAGTGATTATAGCAATCCTAAAATAAATTAAAAAATAAAGTATCTTGATTTATATCATTTATTCAAAATCTGTTTTGTGAAGAAAAGAATCTGGAAGCCAATCTTTCATTGAGATGTTGGCACCATAGCATTTTTTCACCTGAATTATAAAACAATGTTGGTCAGTTTTGTAAAGTGTTTTTATAGGAGTGGACTTTCATTATGAAGCATAAAGACTGTAAATTAATCATTATAGTAGTTTGTGATTAGATGCCTAGTAGCAATTGCAAGATGCTCTATCTTGCTGTATTTCACTGAATGCTGCATATGACTACTGCATATGAATACTGCATATGAAAGGATTGCTGAAGAAGGATATATTCTCTTCCTGCTGCTGATAGCCATTTTGAATAGAAGCAGTGTGATTTGTCATTGTTGTACACAGACAAGTCTTGATTGGCTCTATGACATCTCATTATCATGTTCCATTTGCAAGTCCTGATTGTTTAGGAATGCGTGAGAGAGAGAGATAAAATGAAAGGAAAGAAGGAATAAGTCATGTAGTGATTGAAAATATTCACAATGAAAAGTATTAAATATGATAAATATTGAATGTTTGGAGGTAGATCCAGTACTGCCTTTATTCTCAGAAGAGTTGACCCTGCCATTAGACAGAGTAAGATGGCCATCTAAGGCATATGGTGTCCTGAAAGGCCAGCAAATTTGAAGTGTTTGGGGTTTTTTGTTGTTTTCTTCTATTACCCGGTATGGGCAAGAGTCCTTGTGGGAGTCCTTGTCACATTTGCCACAATACCTTGGATGGCTTTGGGTAGTTCTGGGCCATTTCCGTTCTTAGACAAACATTTGGTGGATTTTATTACATTTTACCATATTTAATGACTGTCAGTCTATTGTAGGAAACCATTGCTGTCCCTGACTTGATGAAACTGTCATTTTCACTAGTTTTGGTTGTCAGCTATTTTACAATATTTGATATCAACATAATTTAAAACCATAAGAACAGTATAAAGATAGCAGGCTATTCAATTGTTAACAGAGGCTGAAGGGATTAGGAAGTCAGATCTCAGATCTCATCATTGTGGTGGTGATGATGATGATAATGATGAAAGAAAACTATGTTTGTATTTATGGGTTCTAAAGAGTATGGAATTGCAATGTCCTGCTCCAAAGCTATGATGGATGCAAATGAACTGTTGTCTCAGTAATTGCATTGCTATTTTTTGTAAGAATGCACCAATACTAAATATTAGAAGTAGAGCAGCTTGTCAAAAATGGCTTTGAAAGAGAAACTAAATAAGACAGGAAGCTCAAGATTTTGCATTTCCTTTAGTGCAGCCACCCCCAACATGTTGTCCCCCAAATATTTTCAGCTAAATACTCTGACTTCAGGGGCTAGAGTTGTTGATTTTTAGAGTCCAAAACATCGGGTAGGTGTCAGACTGCCAGAGACTATGACTTTTGCATGCGATCCCGAAAGCAATTTCATATTTCCTCAGAAGATTAATAGTATTTGCTATAGGATCCTACATCTTGAGCTAAAGAAAGAATGAGACAATGATGTGGCATGCCTGTACAACCCACAATCCATTTTCACTGAGTAAGCTTTTGAGAAATATGGCATTCAATATTTTTTTTGAATTAAAAAAATGCTAAATGTACAGCAAATAGAAAAAATACCTTTTTTAAAATAAAGTGAGTGGATGATTTCTAGAAGTACATAGCATGCTGAAAAAATAATGGAACATAATGTATAAGATACACTTTACTATACTGTTGTTTCTTTTCCTTTCCAATAAACAGTGTTCTTTTCTAGTGCTTATCCAGGCTTGCAAAGGCAAACAAACCCCATCTGAAACTGTCAGCAAAGAAGCCATTAGTAATTAGAATCTCAATGAGGAAACCAATCATATTGAAGAAGCTGTAGCTAGAAGCAGAACTGGGGAGAGCTTAAACCCCATTATCACAGCTTGACACTTCATACATTTTTTCCATTAATGGATCTGCAGCACATTCTGCCTTTCACATAACTGTGATTTGAAGGGCAGAATTATTATTTTTAAAATTGCTCTTCAGAAGGTATCCTTTCTGAATTTGTCCATCTCAAGATGCAGTTGAATTTCAGAAATTATTTTGGACATTAGCATGTCTAAAATAGGCCCTTTTGACAGGTGTTAAGGAGAAACAAGATAAGGTTAATCCAAGCAGCACATTGGTTTACAAGAGGTAGCTTTGCCTGACAGTCAGCAGTCACTCAGATATTCTGTGCGTGGAGTGCTTCTTCCCTCCAGTTTGTAAGATATAAGTTTAAAAATTACTATATTAAGAATTCCGGGTAAAGTCTCTTTTGCTTCTGGCTGCAGGAGTGATATCCCAAAAGTTGACCTAGTGGGCTGTACATTGTCCAGCACCTTAGAAAAGGACTCAACAGAAAGAAGCAATGACATTGGTAAGTCCTGCTTTTTATACTTGACCTACCTTTTAAATGTACATAAACTTTGCAGTGATAATGCGATCATAAAATGCTTAAAAACTCTTAATCAATTGGCACATTTACTGATTATCATTTGCATCTATAAAATAAGAGATAATTGGTTGAAAATATTTGAAATGTTTGTGATCTCTTGTTCAGTTGTGTAAATCATTTTGCTCCTTGAGTATTTAAAAGCTAGGGTTTTTAATTACCTGAAGTAGTTGCTGTCATTTCAAATGTAGATGTACATCCTTGAAATTGGAAAGAAATGGATTGGACTTCCAGAGGCACTTGACGCTTAAATTGCTTTGAGACAATAAAAGGAACAATCACATTTTTTTTTTGCTTCGGCAAATCTGTGATCCATAAGGAAGATGTCCTTGGGTGGTGAAGTAGTAGACTTCTGCTAGAAAGTGAGGTGGCCACATATCTGTAAGCAAACCCAGGGACACTTTGCATGGAAGTATTTCAATGTCATCTGCTTCAGTCACTCAGTCCACTGACAACTGTGCTGCTGCAGACGTGTTTTTGTAAGAGGCAGAGTCTTTGTATCCTAAATTGTAAGCATTACTGCACTTCATTGGTAGCATGCACTGTTATTTTTATGTTGTGGTTTCTTTTTAGAGCGCACCGTTGGTAAAATGTTCAGCTTCAGCAATTAGTCTTCGCTTTTTTTCAGATTTGATAGTTTTGCCCTTCATTACAACTGTTCTAGTAATATTTAAAATTAAGTTTTTAATAATTAAGTTGAAACCTTGCACATATTCACTAGGAAGTAAGTTCCATTGAATTAAGTTTGACTTAATTCCAGGTAAACATGTTTAGAGTGAGGTTACCATTATGTCAAAGAATTACATTTCTGATTTCTTTTTGTGTCTGTTCATTATGGTTTTCCTTTTCAGTAAAAGTTTGTAAGAAAGATGGCTGTTCAGGCAATGCAGTGTGCTTTTTTCAGCAAAACATTTACTGGAAAAGTAACAAATGAATTCCAAATAATAAATAGTGTATATTAAAATAATAATAATAAAGGATCAATAATTTACAAAATTGCATGACTTTTGAAATGGGAACATTTTATTCTTCTTTACAGGACCTAAATATCAAATGTGTTTTTATAGATACATGGTATTTTCTGCTTTGTGTTAAGTGCCAGCGAGATGCAGAGTGCTTTTATAAGCCATTTATAATTTATAGAATTACTTGCATAACTAAATATTATATTTAACAACTGGTAATGGTAAGATTCTAGCAATGAGAAAATGGTGAGAGATCTTACCAGTAGCAGTGGATAAAGGGTTGAATTTCTAAATATCATATATATATATATATATATATAATAAAAATTTATTTGTATTGTGCCCAATCTCCCCAGTGGGGCCTCATCACACTACAAAAAAAATCCATTTAAAATCCGGTTTCTGACTCCTGTAGAATTCTGGGGTTTGTAGTTTAGGGAGGAGCCTTTAACAGCCTTACTAAACTACAAACCTCAGAATTCTGCAGGAGGCAGAAATTGGATTTTAAGTGGATTTTTTCTCTAGTGTGATGCAGGAGAACTCAGGGCGGATTCCAACATACAATGGCAAACATTCAATGCCTCTATAAAACAAACAAATACCAATATAAAATCCCAGAGAAATCTCACATATGAAAACAATATAAAACCTAACATAAAATAATAAAATAAAATAATAAAACAATCTTATCAAATTGCTACATTTGGAACAAAGGCTTCTTTTAGTACACATAAAAACAGCTGAGAAGAACCATGAAAATTTTAACACACAACACTGTGGTTATTCACAAGGTTTTTTTTCTGCTGGGAGTAAATTAGTTGAATCAGGATTGCAACATTTTGTTAAGCATAAATGAAGATCAGAGCAGCATGCAGTTTGCCATGACAAATCCACTCCTAATGACTCAAAACTGAAAGAGCAAAATAAACACAGTATTCTAGAGCGTGACAATGTCTGATCTGGTTTTGTTTGTTTGTTTAATATTTTGTATTTATTAAGGAGACACCCGGCCGCATATTAGAAGATAAACAGAATAGAGTCAGAGGACAATGCAGCTTGCTTATCATACTAGAACACAACTTGTTTCAAGATGCTTTGTATATAATTTGAGGAGGAAGAAAAGGAGTAGAAAATTAATTGTTGGTGGAACTGAACTGTTGCAACTGACCTTGATGGAAGACAGAGAAGTGCTCAGATTTGTGTGTGAAAATGGACTGAGGACAGACTGAGGGCAGATGGAATTAAAATGAAATGCATATGCGGTGACAAATGTTCACACAATTGCCATTGGTGTTTAAACCACTAGGACTGCAGCAAGAAAGAAATAGGCGTTCAGTTTCACTGCTTCTGGCATAAATTGAGCAAAGATTGGTTCGGAAGTGTTAGCCATTTGGAAGCTTGTCTTGTAAAACAGAACCAAAAATTGCATTGTATTATGTTCACAGAGGAGGATAGGGGAATTATGTTATTGCCATAGTTTGGAATTAGCTTGGGCAGGCAAGTGCTGTGTTTAACATCATGTCAACCGGAAGTAGAGCATCATCATTTGTGTGTGAACATGGCTCCCAGAGGATGTGTGTGCTTGATGTCATTTTCTTGGCAAGAAGACTTGGGAATATTTATATCTAATGGGGCAGGATTACTTAATCAGTGAATGGTGGCTTGAATTGGTTGAATGTGTGTCGTTTGTTTGTTCATTTAAATACCACCGCATAAGGTATGTCCCTAGCTTTATCTGTGGCTTGCAGTTCCTCCTATATCTTAAGAAAAGGTTGTTAGTCTTATTGTTAAGTGTGTCTGTAGAAATCTATATTCCCTTTACTCCTCACACTTTATTTTCCTTTTCTCTTCTTTTTCTACATTTCCAGTGGTGCCTTTCTTTTCCTTTCCACTCACATTTCTTCAAGCTTTCCCCATTTACATCCCTTTACCATGGGTAATTCTTCTTCACTCGATGATGGTAAGGCTGTTTTCCACCTTCTGTCTGTCCTGTCATTGTTTTTCCTGAGAACGAGCGGCTTGTGCTGAACTATTCTCATGCCATTTTGTTGTTACAGATAAAACTGTTGGGTGGATGGAGTCAATGCATAATCATTCATTTAATGCCTGTGAAAAGCAATCATTGGTTTATGCATATCTGTTATGCATACACTGTTGGTCATTATTACAAATGTGATGTCCTTCTGAAGTTTTCATGCACATTATGAAAGCATTGGCATGAATTGTATCTGAAGCATTTTTAAAATGCTTTATCCGTGTCTTTAATATAAAATGCACTGCAAATGACTTTGTATTTTGTGAAAAGGGAAATAATTGTACAAATTCTCTATTTGAACAAGGAAACTATGGTACACTGTCAGCCCCGAATTCTCATTGGACCAGTAGGTTATGTTCGAAGCATGGATACTATTTCAAAATGATTTTGTAGGGCACTGAGAATAATGTGACTTATGGCAGCAGCATTTTAATTTAGTTCTGGAAGATCTTGAAGGTTGAAACCAGTGTTAAAGAATATTAATTAATAAAATGGATGACCTAACCTTTTGAGTGTATGAATTTTAAAATGATTAAAGAATTGGCAGTATGTAGAGTTCAACATTTCAGCAAAGGGTTTTCTTAATAGCAGGTGGACAATTTGTGAGCAAGTAAAATAAAATAAAATACATGTACTCAGGGAACAATGTGAAATAATGTGGTGGCACTGTTTGCTGTTTTCTTATGAATACTATAGAAACGATGGCCAGAATCATAGAAGAGACCTCATGGGCCATCCAGTCCAACCCCCAGTCAAGAAGCAGGAAAATCACATTCAAAGCATGCCCGACAGAGGGCCATCCAGCCTCTGTTTAAAAGCCTCCAAAGAAGGAGTCTCCACCACACTCTGGGGCAGAGATTCATTGTTAGGAAGTTCTTCCTAATGTCCAGGTGGAATCTCTTTTCCTGAAGTTTGAAGCCATTGTTCTGCATCCCATTCTCCAGGGCAGCAGAGTCTCGAATCACTACTTGATTTTCATAACTACCTTACTTGCATAGCTAAATAGGCATCTCCTGGCCCAGCAACCCCCATATCCTGACTTACTAGAAACTGCTACTTCAAATGACTGGGTTTTTTTCTGATGATGATTGGAACAACAAACTAGCATTTCCACACTTTTTGTGTGAGTAATTTTTGGCGCAACAATCAAAAATAGGATCAACATTCTAACTCTCCCTTACAGTGGGGATTCCTCATGGGAAGGCTATGGAAACATCAGTCGCCTATGTCCCGATCAACAAGGGAACAGATGCTTGTCACTCACAACAGCTGCTATACAGTGGTTCAAAACTGCAGGACTTTTATGGTCCTTATGTATTCTCTATTCAATGCATAGAGATTGTGAATATGAATCAGTAATGAGTACAGAACTATAGCTATCCTTTTGTAACTGCAATCATGAATTCTGTCAACATATCCCAGGGGGACGGTATAAGAACTTATGTAAAAATGGACCATATTTACTGTGCCATATTTACTGAGCTGTTCACAATGTTTTATGTGTTATTTATACCCAGAAATATGTATTATAATGCAGGAAGGTTTGGAAGCTGCAGTCAGTGCAAAATGAAGCGGTCAGACTACTAGAAAACATACGTTTTAGAGGCCATAGAATATCAGTCTTACAAGAAGTGCACTGGCTTCCAGTTTGCTTCCAAGCTTGGTTTTTGGCTGGCCTTCACCTATAAAGCCCTGAATGGTTGGTCCTTAGCTATAAAGCCAAGCAAGGTCACCTGATAATTTGATTCATCCATATAAGCCTACCTAGAATTTGAGATCATCAGAAGAGGCCCTGTTATATATCCCATCACCTTGAGAGATTAGGTTGGTTGATACATAGCAGAGTTCTCTGTAGTCCGCTCCTAATTGTGGAAATCCTTCCACAGTGACAAAGTGGTTGCATCCATTTTGAGTTTGCGGCAGGAGGTGAAAGCTGTGCTATTTTGCCTGATCTTAAATTTGGGGGTGACTTCTCTAATTTTGTTTAGCTGCATTTTACACTGTTTTCTAGTTGCTGGCCATTTTAGAACTAATTTTAATGGGGAGATTAATTGGTTTTAATTGTGTATTTAGTGTTTTGAATATTTTAACTCATTTTACATTACCTCAGTGACCCTGATGGATTAAGAGGCAAGAAATAAATTCCATAAATACATACATACATAATAGAAAGGTTGAGGATGGGATAACAATGAATCATATTATGGTTTTTTGTGCTACCCTCTGTGCTCTTTTTTGCTTCAGTTTGCCTTTGGTACCTTTAAACCCCTCACATAAAGTAGTGAAGAAAGTATGTGCAGTCAGTGTCCAGAAGGATTGTTCCATTGAAAAAACTCTTTTTTTCAACAAATCTACAAGGGAAGTGATGCCTTCTGTCGTT